AGACACATTGCTCGAACAAAAAGGCAAATGATAAAACGATCGTACCGGACATAGTCTGTAAAGAACAATTGTCTTATAAATTGTTGGTAAATTGCTTCCTTTATTTAATTTGAGCACTGTTTCTACCATTATTTTGACTAAGGCCTGTACACCACAGTTCGCACCAACACTGATTATGTAGGACTACTGTATATATACCGTAATAAAATAATGCAATTCTGAGAGTGTATCAATGTTCCTATATTATTTATACATATTCTTCGGGATTGTTATATATTTTTTTTTTAATAATTATTATATTTCTTAATAATTTTTCCAGTCAAATTAGCTAATGAAAAGTAGATAAATAAATTGATGAAATACTTACACGGACAATTATGAATAATTTCTATGTTTTCTCCAACGCAGCCTTCTGGAACAGCAAAGGATACCTGTTTACATGTTCTATAACGGAATTCTCGGCAACTCTCGCTACAAGAATACCAGTTTGTCCAAGGAGACCACTGTTTATCTATATTCAAAGTTTGTAAATAATACCAATCGATCATAGAATAGTGATTTCTGACTGAATAGAATAAAACACAGATACGTGTATCGCCTATATTTTGTGGTTTCGTTCCAAAGTAAATATGAAAAAAGATGAGGCCTTACCAGACTGAGCCAGAATGTAAACGACCGAGATCTGGAAAATCATTATCATTAAGTAATTAATACTGTATTGTCAAATATAATACATTAGATAATCATTTTAACATAACAAGGATGATGATAATGATATAAAGTTTAAAAATATTAATAATACACAGACTAGATCAAGATGAGTTAAACGAGGGATTGTATTAAATCATGGAAAATTCATGAGTGCATTAATTCATGTTTTTTATTTTTATTTTATTCTTAATCACAGTAACAATACATCAAAGAAGGAACTAATTAAAGAAGAAAGTCAACATCACAATTTAAATTTATAAAAGAATACATTAAAAGATATTTAAAACAATTGAAAAGTTGATGGCACAAAAAAGAGAATAACTTTATGTGTATTTATTAAAAATGTGTATTATTAAAAATAATGTTTGCAATATATTTCATATGGATTGCCTTATTATTATGGAAATAAATGATGAATCTTATAATGTACCAAATTATTAACCATGGGATGGAAAAAGAAAACAAAAATCTTATTAGTAATTAAATATTAATCTTGGTGCAATTAGAAAGCACTTTAAATGAAGTTCGATTTCTTCCTAAGTGTACCGTTTTGATAGTATTTACTGATTACAAATGTGTTAAAAGAAGTTTTAATAATAAACTTTTAAAAAGGCCTAGTTTAACAAACTATAATACTAGTCATTTTAGTGCGATTTAATCTATTGATATGAGCAACAATTCCTAACTTACCATAAGTATGAATAGGCCTATCGTGATTTTTGAATAAAGCATAATTTCCTGAAAGTATAAAGTAATAATAATAAATCAGGGTAGTGTTTACTCATGTCCTTTACAGGTGCGGCACCTGGATTTGCCCGACGGAGGTACGATGTCTCCAACGGGAGGTCGATTCCCCGACGAGAACTTGTGAAAGTGGTCGGGCGTCGCTCAAAATCTCTCTGAAGTGATCTGGGGACGCATCCCCAGGAAACTATCACGATTTAAGGGTTTCATATGATTATTTTACCGATTTTAGACCTGTCTCTTATACACATCTAGATGTGTATAAGAGACAGAAGATATATCTGTGTATCCCCAATCGAGTAAACATTACAAGAAGTTATCAGCTTCTATCGTCTTAAGCGAGTTGCATAATCCATTGGGACCAAAATGTATCGGTGTCCTCGATCAGTAACAGGTTTAATATGTCCTACCAGATCTACTGCTACACGTTCAAATGGTGTATCAATGAGTGGAGTTTCACCGATTGGTGCTTTAATGTTTCGACCTTTTGGCAACGGCGGCGGAAGCCGGGGTGGGGGGGGCAGGGGTCCATTGGCCCTCCCACTTTTTCTACTGGGGGCCCCCCCCCCACTTTTGCGACTGTTCCCAGCACCAGTGACAAACATTTTACGAACGCTGCAATGTCATTATTATTATTATTATTATTCATTCACGCCTTATAAATTGACCTATTATTATTATTATTCTAAAATATAGATTTTTTTTTTTAATTTTCTAACGAAAATTTTCCCTTTTTGAGTTGAGCAACCAAATGTTGATTGACGTCTGTATACGTGCGTCTGTACAGTTTTTTTTGTCTTTTGTGGGGTTATCACACTTTTATTACTTCTCACGTTTCATCACTACATAATTTACAATTACAAGATTGTATGTGGTACCGTGAAATATCCAATATGAGTATTTACAGAGATAAAAATCTTTTTTCTTTAAAACGGGTTAGTCCATCTTGATGGCTAACTATTAATTCTTTATAGTTATTTTCATAGTAACGTACGACATTTAAATATATGTTTTCAATGCGTTTCTTTTATATGTATATTTTTCTGATTATATTCTACTAACCTTTATTAATATAAATAATATACTGTACATACATACATATACATTGTACTCGCATACATGCCAGGATGACAAGTAGCTTACATTAATCAAATATTGATCAGAAATCCTAGGCATATGTCAACATACCTACATACATCCAACCTCACGTTAATATTCACATACACCTACCTATGTGTGCAATACCCAAACTTACACAATAAGCATATTGGGGCCTATAAACAAAGAGGTTATCTATATACACATAACTCCATAATGCCATTTTAATTTTTTTTTTTCATTTTAAATTTTATTTAATAACTTTCTGTTATACTCTATTGAAAATAAGGTCACAGTGGAATTAAGCTTCCATTTACCAATGTGCTACGAGCCTTGTATATACAGAATGCTCCAAGACTACAGATATCATCTAAGAATCTGTTGCCTGTACCTAGAACAATGTTATGAAAGGACAGTGGTGTTTCTAATTTGAAACTATAATTAATAAAATTCCACATTACTCTTGCGTCTTTACATTCAAAAAAATAATATAATTCATCATCCAATACATTGCATTCAATACACCGCTCATCCTTAACAATCTTATATTTAAATAATAATTTTCTTGTAGGTACAATCATATGAAGCAACTTAAAGTTCAATTGCCTAATTACATTATCGTTCTTATTTTTGAGTTTACTGCGCCAGGTGTGTATCCAATCTCTGTTTTCAGTCTTCAACAAAATTTCCCATTTCCGTTGGGTTTGAACAGGAGGCTTCGCAATACTCTTTAGTAACAAACAATAAATTTGTTGTCATTTTTAGAATGGGGTTTCTAATACTTGTATGCCTGGGCATATCCTTATTACTAACTACATTTTTTGTTAATACACTCTTCCACTCTTTAGGAATGGCTTTTAACAAACATGAATATTCTGACATCCAGTTATGTTTGGCATTCAATTTATTTCTAAGCTCAAGAGATGGGAGAAAATTGTAGTTTTTTATGATGTCTTTAACCTTTAATATTCCTGAGTTTATCTAATTCCGGTAGTATACCGAGTTATTATTTATACAAACAAATTTGTTTCCCCATAAGTATTGTTCAGCAATATCACTGAAACATTTGGGATATAAAAATTGCATATCATTGACATGTGACATTGCCTTTAAAATAGAAATATAGAAGGAGTGTATTTTGATACATTGAGGTAATTTTGTAAAATTTGAGATAAGGCAAGTTGGTCCAATTTTCTCAAAACATGCAGTTAATACCTTTTTCAGTGATTCAACTTTTTCTTTCCAATTCTTTTTGTAACAGAAGTCCTTGTCATGACCTACATGAATACCAAGAATTTTAATCGGTCTTGTTGTCCACGATAAATTACCTGGCTTACTTTTACAGTCTTTTAATCTGCCTAACCACAATGCATTTGTTTTCCCTTTATTTAATTCTAAACCAGACCTTTTACCAAATTGTTCAATCACCTCAATGCTTTTGGTGATACTTTCTGTGTTTTTCAGAAATAATACCGTGTCATCTGCTAACTGTGCTATTTTAACACTTTCATCATTGTCTTTACCAAAAGGGATATCAATACCCTTAATCGTTTCAGTTGTTCTTATTTTCGTTGCGAGTATCTCGGCAACGAGTATGAAGAGAAGTGCTGATAGAGGGCAGCCTTGCCTTATGCCTTGTTTCATAGTGAGGCTTTCTGACACCAAGCCAGAATTAGTGAATACACTATCTGTATTTTTATATATTGTTTTTACCCATTTTATAAAAGAGTCTCCGAAGTTGAATTTACCTAAGGTTGCTATTTAAAAATTTCTGTTAACTGTATCAAAAGCCTTTTTGAAATCGAGGCTTATTAGTGCTCCTTCTAATTGTTCATTATCCATGTAATTGATTATATCTTCTGTTAATCGTATGTTTTCGCCCCCAAATCGGCCATTTACGTAACCTTTTTGATCATTATTAATAATTGATTTAATAACTAATTGCAGTCTTTTTGTCAGTACAAATGTTGCAATTTTATAATCATAATTGAGTAAGGTAATCGGTCGCCAATTATTCAAATCATGATGATCTCCTTTTTTATGAATTAAATTTATGACACCTCTTTGTTGCGTGTTGGAGAATTGCTTGTCTATGTAACAGAAGTTTAGGGCGTCACAAACAACGTCATCAATAATATGCCAAAAGGTTTGGTAAAATTCTATCGTTAAGCCGACGCACCCTGGTGCTTTATTCTTTTTCATTTGCATGACGGCCTGTTCACATTCTAATAATGTCAGTTCGCTTTCACATATTAGTTTTTTATCTTATGTGAGTTTACTTAAATCAACATGTGATAAATATTTATTAATTGTTAAGTTTGAAATTTGTTTACTAGCGTAAATGTTAGAAAAGAATTTAACTTGTTCTTCAAGTACCTCAAAGGCGTTTGAAGTAAAAGCACCGTCTTGTTTTTTATGTAGTTTAATGTCCTTTTTGTTGCTGTTATTTTTTTCGATGCCAAGAAAGTACTTTGTATTTTTTCCCCTTCTTCAATCCATTTTAATCTAGACCTAACTTGGGCTCCTTTTGCTTCTGTCATATATATATTTTCAAGATTTTTTTTGTTTTCTATTGTATTGACTATTGTCTTGCAATATTAGATTATTTAATCTGTTGATTTCATTTTTAAGTTGTTTCTTTCTCTCATTCTTTTTTTTTATTTTTTGTTTTTCCAAATTTAATTGAAAATTCTTTAATTCTAAATTTTATTATCTCCCATTTATCCCGTGGGTTTAACTCTTCAGTCCTGGCTTGGTTAACAATATTTGTAATATTTTTAATAAATTCTTCATCTTTCAGGTGTTTATTGTTCAATTTCCACAGGCCTGGCCCTCTTTTTTTATTATTGATTATGAGTTTTAACGAGACGGCCTGGGGATCAGTGAGAATTGATGGTCTTATGTCACATGAGTAAACAGATTGTATTAGATTTTGAGAGATAAACATATAATCTAGTCTTCTATATGTTTGAGTTGATTTTCTACGCCATGTAAAATGAGTTCTTGTGGGATTAAGTGTCCTCCATGCATCAATTACATTAACATTTTTCATAAAGTTCATTAATGTATATATTGAATTGTCTGTCATGCTTTTACTGCCTTTTTGGTCTAAATTTTTATTTAACACACAATTCATATCTCCAGATAGGATGATGTTACCATCCTCATTAACTACAAAGTTCCTAATAATATTGTTTAACTTTCTATAAAAAAAAACTCTTCGTTCACTTGCAGTATTTGGTGCATATACATTAACAAGCACTAATGACGATATGTCTATTGTGATGCTTATAATGACAAATCTACCATTTTCATCAATCTGTGTTTTATTAACCTTATAGGTATCACAATCCTTAATCTTGAGTAAGAAGATCCAAAGCTATGATACGCTTGACCTTGCCAAAGAAATTCATATTGATTTATTTTATTACGGGTCAAGTGCGTTTCTTGAATGAAAAATATATCAACTTTACTGTCATTTGCCCATTTGAAAATACATTTCTGCTTATGCTTCTCTCTTAATCCTCTAGTATTGAGAGACAAGAAGTGAATGTTAGGTGTCATTTAATAAATTAATATATAATAAGTATATAAGTATATATAAGTGTAATAAATAATAAGTATCTATCAATTTTGTTTGTTTACTTATTTGTTTAATTTATTTATTTTTTTTATTTTTTTTTTATTTATTTATTTTTTTTTATCCCTAATTACGTCCAACAGATTATTGGTTGTAAACATCAGTTTTATATGTATCTGTAAGTCAAACATAGATAACAGATTGCTGTAAGCAAGACTAAAATTTGCATAGACAGTTAAGATCGTCACACAAACGCCTATAGCTAATGATATTCATGCTATTGTTTACGGTCAACCATGACAACGTACAGTACTTGCATAGTGCATTTAAGGACATGTTTCGTGATCGGTGAATCGGGGTCATTATTATTATTATTACTATTTTTATGAATGTGATTTATCGAGATCCTTGTATTTAGCATGAGTTTATCAAGGAATTAATATTTTACTATTTTTTGTTTTTCTTCTTACTTTTACTTGATTTTCTTCTTCTCTTGGTTCCAGGCTGGGTTGGAGAGACAACGTTCGCTGCATCTTCTTCTATTTTTTTTATCTGTAGAGTTCTTTTTCGATTTTGATTGTTCGTTTGGTAACGACTTTATGAAATCTGTAATCTTTCCCTTTTTCTTTTTGGTATCTGCTGTTTCACTTCACTCTTCGATTTCCTTCTCATTCTCAGAATCACTTGTGCTACCTGAGTCATCACTTTCATCTTCACTGTTGTCGGTGTCTGTGTCTTTTTCATTCTGTTCTACCACTCTTGTCCATACCTCTTGAATTAGACGTTCTCCAGACGCATCATGCAGTAGTTTAACCGCACTACATTGGTCTTTTTTGTGTCCTTGTATACCACAGATATGGCATACAAGCTCATTTGTACATTCATTTGCACTGTGCCCTTGCTTTAGACATTTGGAACATTTCGCTCTCTCATCTTTTTGACCATTGTGAAAGAATCTTTCTTTAAATCCACTTACATACTAATGAACCTTGGTAGTGCAGTATTGAGCGTTTCCACAAATGCAAGCCGGTCACCATTTAAACAGTTTGTCAGATGCCCATCAACTCTTAATTTCATGCGTTGAATATTTCCTATTTTTTTGCAATTAAAACGTATTAGAGATTTCCTGATTTCGTCGTCTGCCACCGACAGAGGTAGGTCCTTAATGATTACTCGGGTTGAGTCTTCCCGGTGAAGGTAAGGATTTTGTTCATAAACTTGAATGTTCTTACCTCTGATATTGATTCCAGATGTTATCAAATTTACTCTATCTTGCAGAGAATCAATATAAAGCCTCCACAAATTCTTGATTCTTTGTACACCAAAAATATTTTGGCTTTCTACATAATTTAGTAATGCCTTGTATTTATGTCCTGAGGTTCAATAAATGACTCTTCTTTCGTATTTACCTCATCAACTTTCATGTATATAGGTTTCATGCTTCTTAGACTATCTTTTATATTTCCCGCGTTGAGCGTCAGCTGATCTTTGGACGCGGGAGTCGTACTAGCCATCATTTGTGAAAATTTCAGAATTCTGGTATGGTATCCAAAATAAAATTCAAATATGTTGCCTCAAAAGCTTTCACAATTCATTGATAGACTTTTTCAGAGCAAAACTGCAACTGATCCGTTAAATTCTGATATTTTTTGTAGAGCGAGTGTAAAGAACGTTCACCTTAGAGATCTATCTGCCGCCCTCTCTCATTTCTCTCTCATTTGCGCCTTATAAATTGACCTATTATTATTATCATTATTATTCTAAAATACAGATTTTTTTTTTAATTTTCTAACGAAAATTTTCTCTTTTTGAGTTGAGCAACCAAATGTTGATTGATGTCTGTATACGTGCGTCTGTAAAGTTTCCTTGAAACCCACCCTCGAGCATGAAGAAAAAATCGCCTGCATTCGTGAATTTTGTATTTAGGCATATGGGGGGAGGTAGGCACTCTTAATGGAGCGACGTTCGTTTTCTCTTTATGCTAACCACGAAGATGTATAGTAAGATTAACTGATTGGCTTACAGTAAGCCTTCAAACTAGCGTAATATAACCACATTTAAACTCTAATTTAACGAAAATAATAAGATACTTAATTAGGTCATTTTTTAAATAAAGTTGTCTGAAGGTTAACTACAGAATTTACAGTACCTTTTAGTTTATGTGTTGTAGGTTGTAAAAACTAAATTGAGTAAAAAAAATATTTCGAATAAAAAAATCTCTCGCTTGATATTAGGAATTAATCATTTGTGAAAAAAATGATAGGCTATGTCAAGTGTTATATTGAACAGTGGCAGATTCAAGGGGAACCCTGTCAGCATGGGACCCCATCCTACTTTTTTTTCAAAATTATTTAAAAAAGTGGAGTAAACAGACAAAACTGTATTCAACTTTTAATCTGAGAGTGCCATTTCCGGCCATCTAGATGTGCCATAATCATAATATTTCTTACCTCAGCCCCAACAGTCGTGGGGCTGAGGCGGGTGGACATTCTATTACGCAAGACTCTCCCTGGAACCCCTCTATTTCGACTTCCTCTACCCGCCACAGTTGGAGTATCATTTCCGAGTTACATAGAAGGGTAATTTTTATACGTCGGGAGAAAAGTTTTCGTCGGGGAACCCATATCAAGGATAACCCTCATAATAAATAATTCATTGAGGTCGTGGAAGCAATCTGTGGCGCGTTCAAGGGGAGGAGAGGCTAAATTGTTTAATTTTTTTAATGGAGATATAAGGAAAATTATATTCAAATTTTCTAAGAGTGTAATTACACTCTAAGTCTAAGAGTGTAATTTCCGGCCATCTAGAGGTGCCATAATCACTAATTTTCTTGCCTCAGCCCCACCATGGTGGGGCTGAGGTGGTATAGATTCTCCATCTGCTGAAGAACCCAGTGGCAGATTCAAGGGAACCCAGCCGGCCTGCCCCCACCCTCCTTAATTGTTCAATAAAAAATGGAGATATAAAGATAATTATATTCAAATTTTATGTCTGGAAGTGCAATTTCCGGTCATATAAAGGTGCCATAATCAAAAATTTTCTTACCTCAGCCCCACCATTGTGG